GGAGAAGTGCCCCAAGAGCTGGTGCTAGCGACCAGGGTGGTTGTAAGCTTGTCGGTGGCAGAAGGGCTCCTGACAGGTGTTGACCCAAGAGGTAAGCTGGCGGACACGGTGCCTGGCTCACTGGTAGCGACCGGAAAGTTGGAGGTGCCCGGGCCAGAGGTGGAAACTGGGCTGCTGGGCATGGTAGGAGTCTCAAGGCTGGTGCTCTCCACAGGCTGAGGGCTGGTGGCTCTGCTGTCACCAGGGCTGGTGTCCGTCATGCTGCCCCCTACAGGGGTAGTGGACACCGGGCTTCCTTCAGTAGATTCCCCAGGTGTTGGGGTCATGGTGATAATGGCCCTGGAGGAGGACTCAGTCTCAATGGGTACTGAAGACTGGGTGCTGGACTCTGCCGGGGTGGATGGGGCCGTATCGCCTGCCGGGGCTGTGGGCCCAGTGGTGCTGCTGACTGAAGTAGCTTTACTTGCTTCTGGAGTCCCGGGCCCAGCAGAGCCGCTGAGTGCTGCAGTGGCAGGGGAGGTCCTGGCTTCAGGAGAAGTGCCCCAAGGGCTGGTGCTAGCGACCAGGGTGGTTGTAAGCTCGCTGGTGGCAGCAGGGCTGCTGACAAGTGTTGACCCAAGTGGGACACTGGCGGATGCAGTGCCTGGCTCACTGGTAGCGACCGGAAAGTTGGAGGTGCCCGGGCCAGAGGTGGAAATTGGGCTGCTGGGCATGGTAGGAGCCCCAAGGCTGGTGCTCTCCACAGGCCGAGAGCTGGTGACTCTGTTGTCACCAGGGGTGGTGTCCGTCATGCTGCCCCCTACAGGGCTAGTGGACACCGGGCTTCCTTCAGTAGATTCCCCAGGTGTTGGGGTCATGGTGATAATGGCCCTGGAGGAGGAGGCAGTCTCAATGGGTACTGAAGACTGGGTGCTGGACTCTGCCAGGCTGGACTCCGCCGGGCTGGATGGGACCATATCGCTTGCGGTGGCTGTGGGCCCAGTGGTGCCACTGACTGAAGTAGCTCTACTTGTCTCTGGAGTCCCGGACCCAGCAGAGCTGCTGAGTGCCACTGTGGCAGGGGCAGTCGTGGCTTCAACAGAAGCGCCCCAAGGGCTAGTGCTAGCCAACAGGGTGGTCGCAGGACTGCTGGCAGCAGGAGGGCTGTGCACAGGTGTCGAAACCACTGGGACACTGGCAGATGGAGTAGCGGGCTCACTGGTTGTGGCCGCAGGCACAGAAGTGTCTCGGCCAGTGGTGGACATTATGCTGCTGGGCGTGGTGGGGGTCCCAAGGCTGCTGCTCTCCACAGGCTGAAAGCTGGTTTCACTGCTGTCACCAGGACTGTATACTGTCTTGATTTTCTGCACAGTGTTCATATTTTCTGCTGTTCTTCCTGAAATCACTTCTACGGTCATCGTGGTTCTGACAGAATGTGTTCCGAATGGATATGCATTCAGAATTTTGGGGGACGCAGTGCTGTTTGTGATTGAGCTTGTTTGATAGACAGTGGTCTGAGTAGTAGAACTTTTGCTTGTTTTTATAGTAGTTGTACTTGTCGTACTTGTAGTTGTTGATACAGAATTCGTGCTTGTTTTATTATTTTTAGGCATTGCACTGTTGCTTGCAGTAGTGCTCTCATTTCTGTTGTCTATATCTGTGTTCTCATTGTTCTTGCTATTTGTTGAATGTTCATTTGGCTCTGTTACAATAGTCTCTTTGTCAGAAATGGCTTTTATGTTTGAGCTTGTTACTGAAAATGTGTGCAGAGAAATGATGGCATTAGTATATTGAAGTTGAACTGAAAGAAATCTCACCATGGTGTTTGCCTTCATCCTGTCCTCTTTTCCATCCTTTTGTACCTGTAGCTGCAGGTGACCCCTCCCACCCTTCCCAACCCTGTTCCTCCACCTGTGCTAACTTTCCATGGCCACCTAGCCCAGGAGTCAGAGGTTATAACTGTCTTTGCCAGCATGCAGGATCACACCACTCATTTTGAGGGAGTGGCCCGTTCCCTCGTGTTCCACTTCCGTTGCCTCACCTGCCTCCTGGTTCCGAGACAACTGCTGGCACTGTGGCTCCTGAGAGTCCACTTGGGGGATGCACCCACCGCCATCCCACACAGCCGTGTTCTGGCTTTCGCTGAGACCTACGGGAAACAATGGGCAGTTTGTCTCCTGGAAGCACAACACTCCTTTTCTTTCTTTTCTTTGTCTACGGTCATTCTTTCAAATCCTGCTCTCTGCTCTGAACAGGGCTTGACCCTGGACCAGTGAGCTCACCTTCCAGCTAAGAATCAATCATGCACCAGATCTACCCCCCACAGAAGTCAGGCCACGAGGTGCAGGATGGGCTGAGGCCTTGCAGTTCGCTGGGGCTGGGACAATGCATAGGTGAAGTAAAGCGGCTCCTGCCCAGTCAGGGTGGTACCTATTTACATGTGGCCAAGCCCTTTCCAATGGATAGATGCCACTTCCAGGCCTGGCCTGTGATACTTCCCTGATGGGTCCCAATTTTTCCTTTCTTCTGTCAGGGCAAGGCAAAGCTGGGAGGGAAAAGTAAAGCCTCAGGCAAGAGGAATCCAGATACCTGAATCACCACATGAGGGGAAGCCACCTGGCCATCAGGAATGCTTGCCTTTCATCCTTACATGACCAAGAAAAAAATCAAAGCAAGACTACTGTGGTTGAGCCATTATATATTTTTCATCTATTTGTTATAGCAGATAGAAAAATATCCTTACTAGTAGACTGGGGATCTTCATGTAGGCCCAGGAACCTGTAGAGTTTCTCTAGTTATCCTTAAGAAAGTCAAGCCCATAGTTGTTTTTTTTTCTTTTTTCTTTTTTTGGTTTTAGTTTTGTTTTGTTTTGGTACTGTGGACTGAATCCAGGCCCCTGACATATCCCCAGTCCTTTTGTAATTTTTTTACTGTGAAACAGGATCTTGCTGAATTACCCAGGCGGGGTTTGAACTTGTGGTCCTTCCTCAGCCTCCCAGAGTGCTGAGATTGTCAGTGTGTACACTACACCTGGCAGGATTTAATATATTTCTAATGCTCAAGAGTTATGGCCTATTAACATAACATGCCTTCTTTGAGATTACAGTTTAAAATATATAAGTGAGTGACTGATTTAGACTTGTGATGTTATATTAAAATCTTGCTAATGTTGCCGGGGATTTAGCTTAGTGGTTTCGCTGCCTGCTACGCAAGCACAAGGACCCGAGTTCAATCGCCAGTACTAAAAAAAAAAAAAAATCTTGGTAACGTTCTAAACAGTATTAAAACATTTATGAGCAGTTAAAATTTACCATACCTCTGCACTTACTTTACAGTCTTGTGAACATATTGCCACTATGGTTTGTTCCCTCTGAAACTCATCTTGAATCTTGATTCCCAATGCATGGTAATGAGGGGGGTGGACCCTTTGAGACAGTTATGCCATCAAGAGGGATCTATGGCCAGGCATTGTGGTACATGCCTGTAATCCCAGCATTTGGGAGGCTGAGGCAAGAGGATAGCCACGAGTTCGACGTCAGCCTGGACTACATAGTGAGTTCAAGGCCAGCCTGAACTGCATAGCAAGACCCTGCCTCCAAAAAAGAAGGAGAGGGAGAGAGAAAGTGAGAGAGAGAGTGCCTTTCTGGAGGGACTAAGGTAACTCTTCGGGCTACTGGATTGGTCACCACTCAAATGGTTGTTATCAAGCATGGCTGCGGGTCATGTTTGCTTCTTCCACCCAAAGCCATGGCCCTTGCACTCTGCCAAGTCAGAGTAAAACCAGGGCTGTCCAGCACCAGGCCTTTGGACTTCCCAGCCTCCAGAACTACGAGCCAAAGTAAACCTCTATTATTTATATTACCCAGTCTCAGATATTTTATTGCAGCAACAGAAAACATTTTGCATTCTTGGAAGTTTTTAAAAATGCATATTTAGGGCCAGGGATTTAGCTCAGTGGTTCCGCCCACTGCCCTGCACGTGCAAAGACCTGAGTTCGATCTCCAGTACGCCCCCCCCCCAAAAAAAATGCATAGTTTAACTTATTGGATTTACGGAATTTCTTGTGCGACTGGGAAGCGCCCACTCTCGCGTTCCCACCCCCAGCAGGAGGGGGCACTGCTCAGCCCACAGCTGTGCCCCTCCCCCACCCCCATGGACTGGGACAACTTACTTCAGTGTCCTCCCTGGCTATCTAGCGATGTCCTCCACTCCACGCCAACTTGGGTGCAGCTGGGCCATCAACACGGCGCCCCTCCCCTGCTTCTGAAGCTGCCATTGACTTTTTGAAGAAGGGAGGGGGTGCCCTGATGGCTAAGACTGGAAAGGGAGGAATCTGGGCCCACTGTTACCATCCCTAACCCCCTCGGCTCGCCCTTCAGAAGATTCCCTGGTTTCAACCCAGCCCCCTCATTGGATCGTGGCCGTGATAGCTGAAGCTGCACCAATCACTGACGGTGTACTTGGACCAATCACAGTCCTGCAGCTGCTTTATAAGTAGTACTCCCAGTCATTTCTTGGGTTAGTTTAG